TCGAAATTTTTGAAAAAGTATCAGGAGGGCATGACAATTGAGGAAGTATTCACTGAAATGTGAAAATTCAAAATTTTTGAAAAAGTATCAGGGGAACATGAAAATTGAGGAGGTACTCACTGAAATTTGAAGTTTTTCGAAAAGTATCAGGGGAGCATGATAATCGAGGAGGTATTCACTGAAATTGAAAAATCTAAAATTTTCAGAAAATAAAATTCACCCGGTCAATTGGTCCCTCTGACAGCGGGACTGCTACTGAGGCAGTTACCGAGTCGGCTGACGGGCAGACCCCCCACCATTGGGTGCGGCCCCCTCTTTCTTTTGGGGTGAGTTACTACAATGCCGGTGGGGTCACTCAAACCCCCAATGAGTGGCTCAGTTCTGGGGGAGTACCTGACCCCAAGAGAAAGAGGGGGCCGCACCCAATGGTGGGGGGTCTGCCCGTTAGCCGACTCGGTAACTGCTACTGCCTCAGTAGCAGTCCCGCTGTCAGAGGGACCAATTGGGGTCCCTCTGACTGGGTCAATTTTATTTTCTGAAAATTTTAGATTTTTCAATTTCAGTGAATACCTCCTCGATTTTTATGCTCCCCTGATACTTTTTTGAAACTTTTAAATTTTTCAATTTCAGTGAATGCCTCCTCGATTTTCATGCCCCCCTGATACTTTTTTGAAAATTTTGAATTTTCAAATTTCAGTGAATACCTCCTCGATTTTCATGCTCCTCTGATACTTTTTTGAAAATTTCGAAATTTCAAATTTCAGTGAATACCTCCTTTATTTTCATGCTCCCCTGATACTTTTTCAAAAATTTTGAATTTTCACATTTCAGTGAATACCTCCTCGATTTTCATGACGGGACGACACCCCCATTGTGTGTGGCGCCCTCCCTCTCTTGGGGTGCAGTACTACGATGCCGCTGGGGTCACTCCAACCCCCAGAACTGAGCCTCTACTTCAGTCAATCCTCTTTTCATCCCACGATGTATATTATTATTATTATATTTATATTACATTATATCATTATATTATATTATTATTACCTGTTCTTTGCATTATTTACATTTTTTATATTTTTAGAGAATTCTACTTAAGACTCAGTTAATCAGATAATTACCAAATACTTCAATTATCTATTTATTTTTATTGAACCACCGCTAAATTAATCCATAAATAAATATTCATAATTCAGAATGCAACAATTTTTAATGACTTTCTAGGACTCCCGTAATTATTCTAATCTCAAGATACATTACCGCGATTTTTGATGAATTTTTTGGGAATTTTCTGTATGCAGGAGTTACAGATATCTTCAGAGGAAGCGAGTGTTGGAGCCGGATTATCTTGCGAACTGGGCGTACCAGGAGAGGATCAGTCGTGATGATCTGTAAGTCATTGAAATTCTGTTTTAGTCATCCTTCTGGTTTAATGCATGCAATGATGAAGAATGAGAGAAAAATGGAAATCAAGAGCGATTCTCTAACTCCCACGAATATTTCTAGATCCCCGGTCGAAGAGGTTGTCCTTGATTCTTCCAGAGCCGAGTCCCGGAAATCTCGAGAAGATCATCGAGACTTGTACATAACAATCTACTTTTTTTATCTACTGAGCACTTGGCTCCTCTTCGTACTCTTGAAATTTGTATACGATTTCGATTTTTGCCCAGTTACCACTCGCAAGCGCATGTTCTTCCCCTCGCGAGACGATCACTAGCCTTCGAAGTTCTACATTCCAAACCAAAAATAATTTCTGTAATAAAACGGTATTCATTTGGGGGGG